GAAAATTCTAGTGCTGTCTGAAAATTGAGTTTAGAACTGGGTAGTATATTTCACAAAATCTCTTAGAACACAACAGTCCCAACAACAGACTGGAGAGAGGTTCGGAGCATTTGGTACATGTCGCTTACCCAGGACAATTTATCCCTGCAGGTTTTATCAGGAATATATATGTTAAAAATCAACCGAAGAATACTAAATACGAACACTGAAAACAAACTAGACCCCTTTAAACACTTTTCTTAAAACAAGCAATAACATTTTCAAACTTTGATGTATCTTAAAATCATTACAGTAGAGGCTGGGAAGGTGGCTCAGCGGTAGAGTGCTTGCCTTGCATGCATGACGCCCTGGGTTCGATTCCTCAGCACCACATAAGCAAAAAGAAAAAAGCCAGAAGTGGCACTGTGGCTCAAGTGGTAGAGCGCTAGCCTTGACCTTAAGAGCTGAGGGACAGTGCCCAGGCCCAGAGTTCAGGCCCCACAACCGGACCCAAAAAAAAAAAATCATTACAGTAAACAGTGTAAGGCTCAGAGAGACAAAGGAGGAGTACTGTTTTGCATATGTGGAAAGTAGAACTAAGTTATATAAAATATGTAGACATATACAGGGTCATATGCATGTATACAAGAACATGTTAATTAAAATATGGTATATGCAAGGGAGGGATTCCAGTGGAGTGTAACCCCTTTGAACACTGATTTACTGTTTAACAAAATGAATAATAGGAAGCTGGAACATGGGGGTGTCAGGGGAAGGGTGAGGTCAAGGGAATCAGGTGCAAAAATGGAGAGAGGAAGGGTGTAGAAACAAAGCTAGAATATTCAGTGCACCCATGTGAAAATGGAATTAGGAAACTGAAGGTATGGTTGGGGTTGGGAGAAACAGGGAAGAATGATGGGAGTGGGATACTCATAAACTGACATGTTGAATTGAAACCCCTTTGTTCAGCTGTCAGGGTAATTCAAAAATTAAAAGGCAATGTGACATTTCAAAAAGGGAACTCCTCTGTGACCCAGCAGTCCCACTTTTGGGCATTTACCCAAACGATCACAAACAAGGCTATACTAAAGCTACCAGCACAACTATGTTTATCGCAGGATTATTTACCATAGCTAAGATATGGAACCAACCCAGATGCCCCACAGCATTGTTTATCCCATAATATAAATGTAGTTTTTCAGTTTCATTCACAACAGAGTTTATAATCCAACCACCTAAATATCATATTTTATTCAATTCATATAAAATCACTGAAATCATGGTATACCCAGCATTCCGTGCTACTGCACCAGACTCTGTGTCCTGGTTTGGTATTAGATACACCACTTACAGGCGTGGTTTTTCAGTAACCTTTGCTGCTAGACTATTAAATCCAAGGATGGATTTTTCAATGTGAGGCTAATAATGTCTGCACATTCTCAAGGGATTGTGTTTAGACAGCAGACACTTCCATAAGTAGACAAGAAATATTCTGAAAATTGTATCTAACCTGAGAAGTGGAATTTATAATTTGAGAAAAAATACTGAGAATTGACAAGAGGAACTAGATGCAAGGATTCCTTCTCATTTTCATTTTCCAAAACAGTTTAACGTGTATATAAAGAAACTTTACACAAAAAGGAGAAGGACTTCATAGTTATTTGATTCTAACAAAACCACCATTATGTTTAAGTATTTATTTTCTTTAAACATCAGGCTTAGCAATAAGATTGATATAAATATTCAAAAGATGAATTAAGAAAAATGTATAACTGTCTAATTTGTTCATTTAGAAAGAAAAAAATATGACCCACTAGTCGCATTTTCCTCAGGTCAAACCATTTATGTGGGATATGTATGTTAGGAACAGATATGAATCCAAACATGCAGACTTGTAATGATTTCTAATGCATATCACCATTGCAAAATTTACCACTTGTATTGGTGGTTATTCAAAGATGAAGAGGCTCTCAAGCAATGTGATCTTCTAACAAGAGAATTCCCTCTTCTGGTTCCTTAGATCTCAGAAATAATTAATGCTTGACAGTCTGAAGTCAAAAAAGAAGCCATGTTATTTAGACACAATGGTGCAGTCACTTGAATTTATGAATTCAGTGTGCTTATGGTTAAGCTGTGAGTGTGACAGGATGAGGATTTGTAGGTAAGCCTTCAAGAAAGAGCTACTTTCATAACAGCTCTGACTTCATCCATGCAGCGCCTTAAGGATATAGTTCCTAAGGGAAGGAACTCAGGCCATCTCTCCAGGACACTTTGCCTAAGCCGGAACTGCATGGACCTCATCCACACCACGTACTTGGTATACCACCTTGAGCAGAGGAGCCCAGCCACAGTGGAGAATGGGCATTGTCCCTGTCCAGCAGCTGCTGGCCACACACTCTACAAATCCTCTAACCTCTGCACTTCGGCTTCTGCGTGTAAATTGACTGAAAATTTTATTCTCTATTTCATGTAATAATCTTACATTCATGTTGGCCTGTTTTAAGTTTTCTTTCAAAAGCATCCTTACTAACCTGACCAGGCCACATAGCAATGTTAAATTATTTTAATGAGTTGATTTATAATTGGACAAATTACAGCCTTACATTCTTTAGTTGGATGCTCTTTGCACAATACTATATGGGTTTTATATAAATGTTTTCTTCAAAAATAAAAAGAATATGGTAGGAGAAAAACAAAAGAGGGGTAACAGTGCTCAATAGGAAATGTACTCACTACCTTATTTGTGTAACTATAACCCCTCTGTACAGTATCTTTAAAAAATAAACCAGGAAAAATGAATATACCAAGAGAAGCCAATCTGATTTATATCCACAAAATAACAATTTATGACATTAAAATTAAACTATCTTCAGGGCCCCAAGTGGAGCTGCATGATACAGGAAACACCAATCCACACAGTTTACAATCTGAAAGGTTAAAAAACAATAAAAGTTTAGAAGAAAAAAACACTGAATTTTCATGATCTAGTGATGAAAGCTCAACAAGCTATTATTTTCATTGGAAGGAGAAGAAGCCATGAAATGTAAAGAGGTTCATAAGGAAGAAATGCTTCCCTATGTGACAGAAGATTCAAGTAGGACTCAAGAAAATTACAGTGTGGTCATCAAGAATGAATCTAGGTTTTAAATGGAAACAAGACAAAAATCCAGATTTATATGGAAGGAGTTGAAGACAGTTTTAGAAGATTAGAAAAATTTCTCAGAGGATCAAAATAGTATATACTTATATATATATATATATATATATACATGTATATATTATGTGTGTATAAATATACAAGCATATATATACTATATATACATATATAAATATGTATATTTTGACTTACTTTATATGGGTGTTGTGTGCATATATCTATATAGATCAGTTGATAAATCTAATTGAAATTTAGTTTTGAAATATTTTCTAAATTTAGAAAAATTTAGTTTGTTCAATAAGAAAACAAATATATGATTTTCAGTACATTGGTTCCTCTTAACCACATGATAAAGGTATCATAATACAGAATTTCCAATGTTATATTTTAATTCTGCAGTAATTATTATGTTAGTATTTCTTATTATTTAGGATAACATTAATAATGACAAATACAAGTATAAGTATTACTCAAAGTATGTCTGGATATGATGAGCAGGCCATCACTAGGAGTAATCAATAGAAAAGATGCTTACAACTCAGTGTAAGACAGAATCCAATGACCTGAAGTGCTTCTGAGTCCTGATTTACAATTTTTTTCCTCCAGTATAAAATCAAACTATAAAATTATCAGCAGATAATATTTATTTATTGTGTATATATATGTGAGAAATAAATTTTATGTCACACAGCTTATAGTATTTTGTTATAGCAAATGAACTAAAACAGGTGTTATGCAGCCAAAATTTTCCTTCTCAAATCAGCAGAACGAATGTTAGATTGCTTTAGTAGGTGAAGATCTGAAGACAGCAGAAATCTTTTTACAAAAGGAAATGTTCTTCCTGAAGACACCAGCCACTTTCTTTATGCCACATCTATTTCCTGTACCTAATTATCTCTTAACCTATCCTTATCAACAGACCATCCAAAAGGACTCCCCGTCTGTGGAGATGACATACTGGAAGGCTTAGTTCTTCACAATCAACATCTATTTGGTTGTCTCCATGGTGACAAAATAGAACAAGATTAATGACACCTTGGACATATCCATTTTGTCAGGCAAGGGTCCTGTATTCTCCCACAGTTTGAATAATTCCTAGTCCTTGTAAAGTATCATTCCTATTCTTCTGGATTTCTGGGGGTGGGAAATCAACAAAGATTTTTCACATTGGCCACAGCTCAAAATTGGAAGCATCGAGATGGGTCCAAGTCCATCAGATCATTGTAACAGGTGTAACTAAGGTATGACTAACCTGCTGAAGGGCTGCTCAGGTCCACAGCTGTCTCCTTTCATCTCAGTCTCCCTATGTATCTCATCTGTGAGCTTCTGTGAGGTAAGGGCTTTGGAGTTGCCTGCTAGATTGACAGTGTATCTGAGATCTCTAAAATGGGCAGAACTCAGGATATATGGTGGATCTGGAATTGGACCCGTATGCAAACTGGGCCATGACAGAAACTGGGGCTATCATGGGAACTGGAGCCAACACAGAAGACAGAATTTCAAAAGTCCCAAACTTGGCCTTGGTGTCTGTCTTAATTCAGAAGTACAGTCTATTAAAACTTGTTTGATTCTAAATGTGACTATTCTCCAAAGATGAAGTACCTTATCTTCTTTTAGCATTCCAAAAACACTAAAATATACCATTAAGTTTCACACATTTAAGACTGTACACATGTGCTTTTTCTGTACTACATAAACAAACATAAAGTAATTAACTCTGAAATCAAAATACATGCAAATTTAAATGCTATCTTTGGATTTTGACATGCTAAGTTACTGGAGAAAAAAATACTAAACAAATCTTTTCTCCTGCAAGATTAGAACAATATTTTATTTTTTAGTAAATACAAAACAATGAACTTACATCAGAATTAAATCTCAACTGGCAAATGTTGCATGATATGATTTGCTTTCTTCGATGAGGAAGAGGAACCCCAAATGTATGATTTATTACAGCTTTCTGAATTGGGTCCATCTGTAATGAGAAAAAATACAACAAATAGAAATCAAACTTGTCAGTTCCATTGGAAAGTTGCCTGCTTCATTAAAGAGCCAATCTGTGCAGCTTCGATCTACTGCTTCCATTATAAAGAACATTTCTATGCTAAGAAAAGACATTTCAACTTGCTTAGAAAATAGATAATAAGCCTGAAGCTTGGGAATGATAAATGTTCCCATTAAATCTACAAACTAAGTGCTTTTCTCATTTGGGATCAACAATTGTACCAGCTAGATAAACCTTAAGTATAATTAAAGGTATTAAACCTCAAGTTTTTGCTAATGCCAACAGTCTAACATACAAGTATGCCAAAATGGACTTAAAAATAAATTTGGTCAGTTGGGCAACTATGAAAGTAAATTATATACCATTATTCAACTTTAGCCTTATGTTTTGAATCTGCTATATTTTAAAAAGGCCAGATGTGGAGGTGCATGCATTTAATTCCACCTAATAAGGAAGTGAAGTCTTCTTCAGTGAGAATTGTGCATTTGAGGCCCATCAGGCAAACTCAGCAAGTCTGTATCTCCAAAACAAACACAAACTGAAGGATTAGAGGTATGGCTTAATAAGTCAGCACTGGTATAGTATGTACAAGACTCTGCTCCAATCCTCAGTACCAAAAAAAAGTCACAGTATACAAACCCTGTCCCACTGGGAGCTGTTAATGAAGTCATTTAACAATCACTTGTTGAGTACCTAGTATATACTGATGCCCTATGGACAAGTTTAAGGGGACTCAGAGTTTGAACCAAGTGTCAATTACATCTCTTTATCTTAAAGTAAGCAACAACCAAACATGTCACAACCTATCTCTGATAAAACTCAGTTCTTCTTACCTACCTTTGTTCCGTGCTCAGATCATGATCCCTAGCTGTAAGACTAATAAAAATTTCCATATGCTCTTTACAACTATCTATGTTCTTCTCTTAAAGTTGTGGTGTGGTTTAAATCTGATAATTCACCAAAGTTAGTAAATACTGTTCAGTATTTATTATGAAGCCAGGAAGCTTACTTTTTTTTTTTTTTTTTGGTTGGTCGTGGGGCTTGAACTCTGGGCTTGGGCACTGTCTCTGTGCTCTCTAGCTCAAGGCTAGCACTCTACCACTTGAGGCACAGCTCCACTTCTGGTTTTCTAGTGGTTTATTGGAGATAAGAGTCTCACAGACTTTCCTGCCCAGGCTGGCTTTGAACTGCGATCCTCAGATCTCAGCCTCCTGAGTAGCTAGGATTACAGGCGTGAGCCACTGGCGCCTGGCTAAGCTTTCTTAATATATGAAACGTGACTACATGTTTTATACAGTGTGGGTCCTGCAAAAACAAAATCACCTAGAACTTTGTGTTCCTAGAGATACTTTTGATACCCCAGCAATTTCTTTGCAGACATCTCTGTGATCTTCACAATATAAGTTCCTTCTTCAATTCAATTCACTATTTTGATCTAATTATTAAAACCTAACTCCAAGCCACAGTATCTGTTCTCCTCAGCCAGGGCCTACTATAGGATAGTAATGGAAAGGTGAAAGGGTTTGCTATGGGATTAATGCCTGTCCATGCTCCCAATTTCCCCATCCCAGGCAAGCTTCCATGCTTTCGTTAAGCCCCACCTCCAGCCCTATTTTCACAGACCTTAAATGAACAATGCACCGAGACTGAGACAGCCCAGTCATCTTAAGTGTAAATCTCAGCTGTTTCAACAGCTCTCATTTGGCTTCCCTAAGTCATTTTTATACCACTTTTAAATATTGTTACAACTTTCAACAATAACCATAGAGACAACCAACTGTCCCTCCAGATGAAGTGAAATTTTAAGCTAAAAGATATACCAGGTATTGGTGGCTCACACCTATCATACTAGCTACTCAGGAGGCAGAGATCTGAAGAAATACAGTTCAAAGCCAGCTACAGTAGAAAAGTGATGGGACTCCATCTCCACTTAACAAGAAAAAAAAAATGTCAGACTGAAAGTATAGTTCAAGTGGTAGAGTGTCAGCCAGTAAAGCAAACGAAGCAAAATGTGAGGCCGTGAGTTCAAACCCCAGAGCTGGGGGAAAAAAAGTCCTAAGTGACTTGCTTTGTCTTATCTTGCCTGTTGCATGTGCTTTCTGCCTAAGCAAAGCACACTTCTTTCAGATGAATTATGCCCACAACCCATTAAGGTACACATCAGTTTCTCTCATAATAATACCTTGAAATAGAAATATGACACCCATTGAAGGGGGGGTGGGGAGGCGGTCGTGAAGCTTGAACTCTGGGCTTGGGTGCTCTCTGTGCGCTCTTCAGCCCAAGGTGAGTGCTCTACCGCTTGAGTCACAGCACCGCTTCCAGTGAGTCACACAGACTTTCCTGCCCGGGCTGGCTTTGAACTGTGATCCTCAGATATCAGCCTCCTGAGTAGCTAGGATTACAGACATGAGCCACCAGAGCCTGGCATGACACCTATTTTTTACTAGAGCTGCTCTTCAAAGCTACCCTGTACTGACTTTTTGGTGAGCAAGATGCTATTTGAGTCTTTCAATAACCCTGGGGAAATAGGGGTATCCATCCAATCTGTGCCAGAGGTATTTTAGAACCGGATGCTTCATGGAAAAGTCATGAATGCTCTAGATTAAATTCTTCTGTTGAATCTGAATGAGTCTCTGATCACTTTGGCTATGAAATCTGATTTCAAAATGCAAAGTGGGTTGCCTTCTTCAGAGACATTTTTATCTGCCAGCATGCTTAAGAAAAATATAAACACTTAACTGAATATAATTTAAACATGAATTTCACCAATTATAAGCATGCCACTAAAAGTAATTACTTTTAGTCTTATAGGAATCTAGTATAGAAATATGACACGTTTAACACATTTATCAACGAAAATACACATAATCTAATGTGTGTCAGTGTACACACATATGTACATAGCATAGATGACCATTTACAGTTAGCAATTATGAAAGAACAAAGTCTAAATAGAAACCCATTTCACTGCTACTTATTTAATTAAATGATACTTAATTAAAGGCCATGTAACTAAAACCACATTTACTATCTGATCTGGAGATGTAGAAACAATACTAATCATTTGACTCACATATTTATGTATCACAATAATCCTTTTAATCTGTGATTTCCATAACATAACTAAAGCCTTTACTCTTTTGTATGTCTTTAAATTTAGTATTATTGTACCATGCATATAGTTCAGAAAAGTGGGGGATCTGAGAAGTGGAAATATTTTCACATTTTAAAAAGATGAAAAAAGGTGTAATGGTTTCCAGGAAATAGTAAAGACACTAAACTAAAATTAGTACACAGGATCAGATGCCTAAAATCTTCAGATGAGTCCACTTAAGCCTGGTAGTATTGAATTATAACTAAGGAAATGGTAACGTCCACCTAATATGACACATTTGTATAATTTCTCAATTGGGATATCTTAAAGAATAAACTTTCAGAATCCTTTCTGTAGCTCCCCTATGCAAATAAACAAAAGAACAGAATGATATACTAGTGTCTGTTCAGCCAGACACTAGACTGAAATTCAATTTCCAACCCAGCCTATGGCTTATTTAAAGCTAAATGAATATGTTTTTCTTCATTTCAGACTTAAGGACTCTGGTGTTTCTATCCAGGGCCTGGGACTCTGCTGTCACCCCTCTGGGATTTCTTCTAAATGGATTCGCAAATGAGCATGTGAGGGGCAGGTCTCAAGGGCATCAGGAGTCCCCATTTAAGAGGACTGTTGCATTGTGGGGCAGCAAGAATTTAACCCTGAGTTTACAGTTCTTGCCCTAGGAGACTGCTCTCCCTCTGATCTGCTATCAACTTGCCTCTTACTTTTTCAATCAAAGAATAGGAACTTAAATGCCAGAAGTTTAGAAGTCCCCAAGTATAAAGGTTGTGTCTTCCAGCTGATATTTCTATATAATAATGGCCCCTAACAACTAACAATCGAAAGGTTGCACTCACAGACACTCACCGTATGTCTGATGTTCATAACCATTATTTCTATCCTAATGTGCTTATGAGGGCACTTTTCCTCTCTGAATCTTCATCAGTACATTACTATCATACATTTCTGATCATTGCTATGTTGGATATTGAAGTCATTCTGAGACATATATCTTGGAAAATTTGATTTGTGATAGATTATGTATAGAAGTTTTAGTGAGTACTGCAAAATGTTTGTTGCAACACTGAAATAAAATTCTAGCACTAACTACCCAGTGTGAATAGCATGGTCTACAACATGACATCCTCCCTTCCAGTGCCAAATACAAGTCACAAACTCACTTGTAGTTGACAAACTGGATGCAAATGTGTAGGTCATCATGATCCACACAGGTTTGAGAATGTGCTACAATGACTGGCAGACAGGAAGAAAGCACTTAAAGAGAATATAGTTTTACCATAGAGGATATATATGAGAAGCAGACATAGGAAGAGAACAGAGGCAAGAGCTTGAAGAAGGAGTAGAAAGCTTCTATCTTCTCTCTCTCCCAGAATATCGATGCCACTGCATTCACTTTCCCAACCAGCAAACTCATACAAGTCTCATTACCCAGTGTTCTTACTGTAACTACATTCCATGGAGGTCAAGCTGGGATTACTTAGCACAAATACCCAATCTTCCAGTCCTGTGGTTAGTCTTTCTGGTGACTGGGCCCTGTCCTCCTCAATCATCTCACTAGTATAAACTAAGCTATTGCTGGAAAGCAAAGATCATCCTATCACTTGGGCATTTCCAAAGGGTTAGAGGTACTGACCACAGATCAAAGGCTAAAGATGAGCCTAATTCTTTATTTTACAAGTTGCTCATCTTCATATGAATTTAAATACCTCATTTTCCAGAGTTGTCATCATAAAAGAAAAATATATATCCTTCTCAGTTATCACAAAAAATACCATTTAATCAATTTTCAGAGTAACCAATAAGCAGTAGCAAACTCCCACTTCTGGGAATTACCACTGCAAAGTCATCTCTGTGT